AAAATTCTTTTGAACATCCTCTACAAAGATATGTTATTTTTTCTTTATTGCATGTAAAACATAGTGTTTTGTTATTTGCCATTGCCATATCTTTGAATAGAAGTTAATTGAAGAAATGAATATATTTTTATCTGTTTTTATAAATATAAACTTAATTACTGAATGATAATAAAAATATCGCTCGTTAGTAGAAGAAATCGAAAAAGAATTTTGTCGTGAGAACAACTATTAATTATGATAAAATTCCGCTAATAAAACTGATGTAACATCTAAGATGGTCGGACTAAAACTGGAAATTGATTTGTTTCTAATTTCAAATCAAAATTCAAGTCATTTTTATGATATTATTTCAATGAAAGAATGTTTTAATGTAGATAAAGATCAAAGATAGGTTTGCGTGCACATACAACTTTACCCTTCAGATGAATAATATATCAATCTCTCATCCACTCAACTGTATCGTTATGTTTAATTTTATGATCATTATCATCGCTCTAGTTCTCAAAAGAATTATTGAGATGTTGTATTTTGTTAATTTTCCATATTATTTCGAAAAATTAGACTTACTAAAATGAAACTATTTCAAAGAATTGAATTTCTAAACTTGTGATGTTTTGTGTGTCTCTTTTCAACTATACATTTGATTTGAAAAAGAAATCAGACAAAACATTTCAAGTTAAGAAGAGAAGAAAAAACCACGTTTTATTTTTGATGAAATAGATTTTTAGTGCTCTGTAACGAAACGAAATTGAAAAATGAAAAGTAACATTTTAGAAAGTTGAAAATAAAAATATTGATAAATAGAACTGATTTAAATGAAAAGTAAAGCTATATCGGAGTAAATAAATAAGATTTAATCATCAAAACAAAAGCATTGCAAATAATCGGATATCCAAAAAAGGTTTTTCTATATATCTCAGCATAGATACATAATAGAAGTTTGATCTTCTTTTTGTTAAAAGATTCACTAAGAAAAGTTGCAGAACAATGACGATATGAAGTATCTGCGATGATTGAAATTAATGATCTTTTTCTCAATTAAAACAAAAAAACGTTACATAACAAAATGTATTTAAACGATTATCATATATGTGTATATACATGTCAAATAAGATATTAAATTAATTTTTTTATATTTTGAATTTTTTGTCTGAAAGAATTTTCTTAAAATCTAATTGAGTTTTTATTTTTATTTTAAAATATCAAGAATTGTTTAATTAATGTCTTATAGATGAAAAATATGATCTAATATTGTGTAATATCGAATGAATAGTGTTTTTTAATTAAAATTCAATTTTATCTAGTCAAATAGAAATTCTAGAATTCGTCAATGAGTTTTTCACATATGAAAATTGTTTTTTTTGTCTCAAATATACTTTAATAAATTGATTCTTGATTGTATTCTTTCAGATATAATCAATACTCTTTTCGATAAACTTATCAATTATAAATTTATTAGATAAGAAAGTAAACATTAATTTATCTCCGCATAGTTCTCATTCGATTTAAAAGAAATAATTGAATTTTTGTTTTTCTTAAATTTTCAAAAAAGAAATATAATAATTCAATTGAATAAATCTTAAAGAATTTATATCTCTTTTCTTTAATATTATTCAAATTATCTTTGCTATTACATAAAAATTGTTTAATTAGTTCAATTTAATTATCTTTTATTTTTGAATAATAACATTAAATCATCATCATTCATACAGATTCATCTTTTAGATATTTTTATTGAAATTATCATCAATTTGTACAATCCTATAAAATAATAAATAAGATTTTTATCTATTCATAATTTATTATCATCATTAAATTTATTGAGTAATATATGATTTTTAATAAAAATAAAAAATAAATTATTTTCTTAATCGTTTTATATTAAGGGTGTGGGTATGGGTGTGGGTATGGAGTTGGTATAATATTCAAATGCATAGTCACGTTCACTTACCCACTGACAGCCACGCCCTCAAGACTTTCTTAATCTAATCTTTTGGTTTTGACAGATTTCATTCTTATTCATTCATCTTTTTTCTTCTCTCCTCCCTTTCTCTCAATAAATCATAAAATCATAAAAATAAATCTAATAAAACTTCTATTTACAAGTTTTTTTATTAATTTAAATGTTTTTTCCAATTTGAAAAATATTTTATCTGATTTTTCTATAAAAATTAAATTTTTTCTAATTGAATTTTCTTTGAAATTCTTTTAATTTGATTCATCCAACAAAAATTCTGTTCGAATTATTTTATTCATTTTGGTTTTTTAATTTCAAATTGAAATTAACAAATATTTATTCACTTTTTTTTGAAAAACGAAAAACAGTTTTCTTAAATTTATTTTTATTTATTTTTGATGAACATTTTTCATAAATCAATGTCTATTTATTTATTTACTTTCAAAAATAAAAATCGAAATTTTGTCAAACTGAATTAGAAATATTTTTAATTTCAAAGTTTTTCATATTTTTGAACTCGATGATTTCTATAATCAGCAACATAAAGATTTTCTTCATTATCAAATGATAAACCTGTGGGAAAACCCCATTGATTTGATTGAATTCCGTGACCATTTCCATCAACAACAATTTCACCTTCTTCATCTCCCTCACACCAACGCATTACTCGATTATTATGAGAATCTGCCACATAGATTTGACCCAAATGATCAACAATCACTCCTCGAGGATAACACAATTGTTTGAGACTGTTTCCTTGACCATTTCCACCAGCAACAATAATTCCTTCTTTTGCATCTTTTTTCCATTCCATTACACGATGATTGAAATAATCTGATACATAAAGAGAATAATCGTCATCAATAAAGATATAAGTAGGTTGATAAAGCTGATTAAGATGATTTCCTTTACCATTTCCACCTGCAACTAATTCACCTTTTGTATCTCCTTGTTTCCATCGTCTTACTTCATGATTTTCACAATCAGAAACATAAATAGATCCATTTTTATCCATTGTCAGACCAAAACAATTAGTATGTGAAATAATAATTTGTGGATTTGTTTGATTTTGATCAAAATATCGAATTACCCGTTTGTTTCTATAATCAGCAATAATAAAAGAATTATGTTCTTTATCAAAAATTATATCTCTTGGATCATTCAATCCATCTGCAATGATTTGACCTTCATTTGAATTCAGTTTCCATTTAACAATACGATCATTCGAAGAATCAGCAATATAAATTGATTTATCATTATCGATAAAGATCCCCCAAGGATGATAGAGTTGATTTAATTCCTGTCCGGGTCCATTTCCTCCAGCAACAGTAATTCCAAACTGTTGAAATTTATTCTTCTTTGGTTGAATTGGTTCTAAAATAAAAGAACTTTCATTTTATTCAAAACCTTTTCCATTATTTTTAAATCAAAAAAGGACGAAAATAAGAAGAAAAACTTGTATTTGAATTTATTTTAATAAAATAAAAGTCTAATTTCGGAAAATGTTTTTAAATAAAAATCATTTTTATTTCAATGTTTTAAATAAAATCGATTTAAAATTTCTTTTTGTTAATAAATTAAATAATAATTCCTTTATTTGAAAATTCTAAACTAAAGAGTTAAACTTAACTTAAATTTATTCAACAACTTAAAAACAGCATAATCCTTTTTTATTAAAATACTAAAAGTGATTTTTTAAATGAAAAAAAATATAAAACTTCTATTTATTCTCAGAAATTTGTTTAGATTTGAATTTTCTATTAGAACAAATATTTTAAAAAACAAATAAAGTAATTGTGTTATAAAATATAGTTCATAGAATAAATGATTTTTAGAATTATTTATTTAACAGAATTGTTTTAAAATAAATATTTAAACTAAAAAAATGAATTGAAAATATTTAATCGAATTATTCTTATTAACATAGATAAATATTTTGAATAAATTCTATAGATGAAATAATGTTATTATTTATAAAATAAATTTTATTTTATTATTTAATGAATGAATTAATTAATCAGAACACAATGAAAACTTTTTTATGATGAAAAACAAAGTCAATCAAATTAGTTTTAATTTCTAATAAATCTATTCAATTCTTAGTAGAACATTATTTACTGTTTTTAAAAACTATTCAAACTGATTAATTTGATTAGCAATTCTATAAATGCTTATTTTAATTAGAAAAGAAAACTTTCGATCTTAAGTTTAGTTCTTATTTATATAAATTAATTTATAAAAAATATTTAAAATGAAAATAAACTTTGTTATTTTTCAAAAGAATTTTCATTTTAAACATTTATTTAATAATATTCTCGTTATCTCTGCGGAAAAAATAATTCGAAAACGTTGGATGAAATCTTTTTTCAGTGTTATATTAAGTGATATAAACAATAAAAAAGAATCAAATTATGAATAATTGTATGATTAATGCTTCAAGAAAAATTGTTATTTCTTATCCAAAGAATAATACTATTTGGAAAATGAATTTTTATTGTTACTTAATTAATAAAAATAATTTATGAAAAGTTTTATCTCAATTTTAAAGATAATAAAGCTATTTTTTATTATGAAACATACGTGGTTTTATTTGAGATTGAATTGTTATTTGATGTGTTGTTACTGGATTGCTTGATATAGTCGCTGTGCTAATTGCAGAATGACTTGGCTTATAAGGATCTTAACAAAAAGAAAATATAACCATTTTATTTGACAATAATAGAAAAATAAATAATTTATTTTAATTTTATTTATATAAAAATACTAAAGAATATGAATAGAATATTTTTATTTTGAAGAAATAAATAAAAAATTATTTAGATTATGAGAACTATTGTTTAAGTTCTTGAAATAATTTAAAATAAGAAGGAATGAAAATTTGATTTTATAATTTTAAATTTTTTGAATGAAGATCAATAATTTATGATTTATTCTGTTGAATTAGTTTATATTCTCATTGATCTTTGAAACACTTGTTTTTATAATTGCTCTTAGAAATAATATTGTCCAAGTAAAATCTTTAATTATTTTATTTTCTAATTAAGATTTTCAATCGATCAAATTCAACAATAAAATATCAAATATTTCTTATTCAACTCATTAATTTGAGATTAAAATAATAAATTCTACAATGGTATACTTATTGAATTATTTTATTAACTTTTTCGATAAATATTTTCGTCTATCAAAATATTTTGATTAGTCAAATAAAACAAATGTTTTTGAATTTGGAACAAAAATAAACATAATAGTTGAAATACTTACTTGGCTTTGATGGTCTAGGTGATTCTTCTTCTTCTTCTTCATCATCATCACTAATTTCTTTTAAATGAATAATGTTTAATCCGCCATGATGACTTAATGGATTAGATACAACTTCAAATACTGTTCCAGGCATTAAAATAACTTCGTTTTCATTTGGATAACATGTAAATGATGAAACAGATTTTCCATTTAAACATTCGATATGAAATAATGTACTTGAAGAAGATTTGCTAATAAATGAAGAAATAACATCAATAGATGTTGAACATGAACTTATACTCCACCAAGTAATTCTTTGACCTTTTTTAAATTTCATAGTAACATTTTTATCAATACCACGCCAAATAATTCCTTTGAATGTAGGTAATTTTGATGTTGCAGAATCTAAAAGTCTTAAATATCCAAACCATGGACGAACTTTTGTTCGATCTTCTGCACGAAGTGTTTGATTTAAAATACGATAAACACTTGAATCATCAGACAGTTCCATAGTATAAATATAAATTGCAGCAGATTCATCTTTTGTTAAATTATGATCATTTGGATATGTACAATGTCTTTTAGCTAATTTAACAAAACGATTTATATCGTTCAGAAAATTTTGTAATTCATTCATCGCTTCTGTAAGAGATAATAATTTATAATTAAGATAACCATAACATGCTGGCAAGCGTTTATTTTCCAGTTCGATATCTGTAAAACGATCTCCATTATGACTCATTATAATTAATTAATTATTCAAATTGTTTTTTATTAAATGGTGAACTAAATAAAGAAAAAAGAAAACTTTATTTGATCTGTATTTTGATTATTAAGTTTGAAAAAATTGACGATCAAAGTTACTTTACTGCAGTTTTTATATTGTTTCATTTTAAGCATATTTAAATGCGATCGATGAGTGTGTGAGAGTGAGGGTAAGTCTACGGACGACCATGACAATGAAGATGACAGTAGGTAGCATGGTGTAGATGCCCAAGGGCGAATATTGATATGGATATTATAGTCATTTCTCAATAATTTCATTCTCATGATATCTTCACATCGTACACATTAACTGACAAACCACATCATCATCTATACTCGCATCTTCATATATACTCTCATCTGCACTAACACTTAAACTCATAGATTTGATGTTTCCTCTTTTGCAAACTCCCAAAGAAATAAAACAAGTTCTAAAAATGAACATCTCTGTGGCATCTACAATCATTGAAAAGTCATAATACTTCCCTGAGATTCAAGTTAAACTTTAAGCTTAGGAGAACTTTTATGATCAAAGTGGGCAACAGTTCGTACAAGCATATCCATTTAAACTCTACCTCAAACACATGGATCTCGAAAGGGAAAAAAACGCTGTAAAAGAAGATAGGTTGAGTAATATTTACTGACTTTGGTTATTTATAAGTCACTTGCTATTCTGTCTTTTTGGAAGTGTATGTTAGTAATAGTTTCTCTCTTCGAAATGAATAAAAGTATACACAGCACACATAATTCACCTTTTATATATGAAGGTAAATAAATTCTTTTATCTTGGTTTTTAAAGAATGATAAACAAAGTTATACATCCAAGTTGGTGAGAAGTATTTCTTTTTCTTTTATTGACGATGATATTATTTATCTTCATAGAGCTTCTTCTCTGCTTGCAAAAGATAACGACACAAATATTGAGGAGTGTGAATATAGATGTAGATGTGGGTATTATATTCAACCTTTTTGCACAGTCATACATACATCACTGGTGTAACCGAGGGGAGGAAAATGAACAACTATCTATTTCATCTGTAGCTTTATCCATTTAAATTTTACTTTTTTAATATAATATTGTTTATATATTTTCGAATAAGATAGTAACTGAATGTTATTCATTCGTATGAATCATATGCACTCTCTGCGTGTTCTTCTGATAAAGAATGAAGAAGAGAAGAATAAAAGAATTGCTTCTTATATTTTAACTTTAAGGTTAGATGAACATGCGTATGATGTTATTAGGAAAACATTAGTGAAATGAGGGACTTAGATTTATCTAGATACTTGTTTCAAAGTAGAACTCAACGAGTTCTATCTAATTTTATGCTTAACTTTCCTATATCTTAAAGTAAGATTAATGATACTAGTGAGAATCTAAACAGTTTAAGCATACCCTCAGATAGAGTTGATTGATTTCTGTCTGGAATAGGAATATAACTCTTCAACCAACTTTACCTGTGTAAAAGTAAAAATAAACAAAATATATGAAAGAGACATGAACTTTCGATTTTCATTTTTATGTTTTTTCTTAAATATATATTCCATACACTTCTATTTTCTTTCATATTTTAGGAATAATTCAAAACTAATTTAATACAAAACTACTAACTGAAAAATATGTAACGAAGTATTCTATGTGGGTGAGTAGAATACATATAAATTAAATAAAACTACTCACAAGACAATCAGTATGATACAATGAGTACCATGATCACATGAAAAGATATTGTTAAATATGATTTAGGTACTATAAAATACTAACTTTGTTTCAATTAGAATTAAAAGCTCAATAAATATATGTTGCAATTCCTATTAACCCATGTGTACTAAGTGTATCTATATATTAATTACTATTTAATCGAGCAAATACACTTCTATCTTATTTTGTTATTAACCATAATTATATCTTCACTCTCTGAATATAATATACAAACAATCCAAGATTGGCATTAACTATTAACTAATAAAGCCATTTTTTTATTACAGACGATCGAATTGGTTCTTTTATTTGTCAAACATATATCTTACATGATGTGAAAGTGATTGTAAGTAATATTAATATAACAGATACAGATAAAGTCATTGAAAAATTTCAAGAAAATAAAGATCAACGAACAGACTGAGTAAGGAGATTAGAACTCGATATAACGAATGAAAAAGCAATATTGAAATAGTAATTAATAAATATGATTTTATTAATGTTCTTATTAAACAAACAACAAAATTTCATGTTGGACTTAGTTTGATATAATATTCGATATAATTCAGTTTCAATGGTATTTAAAATTAATTTGAATTCTTAAAATGAAAAGATAAATTATTGCTACAACAACTTCATATAGTTTATCAATTGCAAGATTTTCTAAAAATATAATCAAAGATTAATACTAATAACTATAAAATCTTGTGTCAGATGTCTATCTATTTATTTTAAATTAAACTCGAGAATGAATTTGTAAATGATGTAAAATAGAATGATGCAATAATTTCCTTTCTTTTTACAGAAACTGATGAGAATGAAAATATGATAATCCTAAAATTGTATTGAATCAAAAAGATTTTTTCGATTCAGAGTAAAAAAACTCGAATGATAAAATTTTGTTCCATCGTCATAGTGTGAATGTGTGCTCCAGTCACTTGGAAAATACCTATTCCTATCAAGAATGCGTACTGAACACTGTCGATGTACTGACGTTTTAATACAAAATCAACATTAGCAAACAAACCATAGGTAAATTAATCAGATACTTTAGTATTGAAAAGTATTTAAATCAACCTCAATATTCTACAAAATGTTTAGTAATCTTATTTTTTATCAACAAGATTTCCATTGATAATGATCGAAAGTTCGGTCTAAAGTGTAGAAAAAACAGTTCTTGATATTTTTCTTGTCGATATATATGTTTGCAATTATTTTAAAGAGTATTTATTGTGTCAAAATGAATGTTCTAATCCAAAGATGAGATAATCAAGTCAATATTAGAAAAGGAATAACATTGAATTTATTATTATTTTCAATTAATTAAACAAAAATTTTAAGATTTCGAATAAATAAAATATATTTTATTAAAGACAAATTGTTTAAGATGTTTTATAAGTGAATAAACTGAGTAAAATGGTGATATAGTGAGAAAGAAGAACTATATAGATGTGTCTTTTATATCAAATATTTAAGATGTTCAAAATATTATTTTTAAGTTCATAGATAATGTTGACAAAAAATTCGATTGTATATTATAATCAATATCATATAGAAGTTTTTGATATTAATAACTTTGAAATTTTATCAAATAATTTTTTATGACGTATTCAGATTGTTTGTCAGTTCTTTTCTTTGTTGTCTATTTAGTTTAAGAATAATAATTTGATTTGTTTTCTAATAGTTTAGAATTAAAATCAATATTTAAATAATCAACTTTATTATCTCTCTCATGAATATATAACAGACTAAGAAGTTTGATGAAGTTTCTCTATTATTTAATGTCTCTTAGAATAATTATATTCTACAGAATTGAATAGTTTCATATCTCATCAAAGTTTCTAACATTATTATTGTTTAAGGACTAATAAAATGTACAATCATCAAATTCTCCTTGAAAAGAAAATCTTATATTTAATATTGTACGATATTTAGATAAAAGTTAATTATGATTCTTTAGAAATCGATCAAATGATATATAACTCTATTTCAATTTTATTACACTATATACTTATATTTATCTTGTGATGTACGAAGTTTGTGCCAAACATATGAAATCATCGAATTTTAATGTAATTTCAAATATGAATAAGTAGATTGTGTCGTTTTTTAAAAAGTATAATTGTTTTTCTTACTTGATGTATTCTTCAATATATTACGCTATTGTCAAATATACCTCTTATCAATTTTCATATGTAATATATACAGATAGAATAATGAGGAAACATAAAAACAGTTCTGTTCTATTTTATTCAAATGCTATGAAACTAAAAAAATACTAAATGACATATATTAATATGAAAGATAGAAGTGTTCAAGAAGCAAACATTCTGTCATCAATAGTTTATATGGGGATAGTTTTAACATAAATTTTATATAGAAAGACAAGTTTTCATATTTTACATTCAATGAATTTTGTCGAACATAGTCAGATGAATATACAATAGATATACATTAAATATGAACACTGAAATGAGAATGTGAGATCAATATAATATCTATACCCACATCTACACCTATACTTTTTAATATTTTTCTGAATTTGAAAAATCTTTTATTTAATTTTTCTATAAAAATAAAATTTTTTCTAATTGAATTTTCTTCTGTATCAAATGATAAACCTGCGAGACAACTCAATTGATTTGATTACTTCCCTTGACCATTTCCACCCACAACAACTTCACCTTAAATCAAAAATAAACAGAAATTTGTTCATTTCGTCGTTTGTCTTTATGGAAAATTAATCAAATAATTTTATATAAATGAATAAAGTAAGAATATAGGTGAGGATGTTTATTGTTTCATTACATTGTTCTTTTATAATCTGTTATTCTTAGTAAATCTACAATAGTTTCATCTTAAAAATATTATTAATGGTTTCTTAGAAATCTCACAATACAAATAAAAATGCCTTTAATATCTTTTAATTTTCATTTTGACTTCAAAAATAAGCAGAATTTGAATGAAATAAATAAATTTAAATCGAATGAAAAATGATGTTATCCATCTTTTTAAAAACAAAATTGGACAAAATATCCCATAAGTTTGTTACATGTGGATGAAAATATGAGAGAAAGAGTATTTAAATAATTATACTCACAGTTTTTCTAGGAACTACACAGATATTTATATATAAATCATTATAAATAATAAGTCAATGAATAGAATAGACAACAATACAAAATTAGAGATTTTACTAATTTTTATGATAAGTCTAGATGGAAAAGGGAAAACATATTTATTTTCTCAATTCAAACAGAAGATTTCAAACTATATAGAAAATCTAAACTAATCAATGAGAAGATTAGAAACTTGTTTGTTCTTTTTCTTAAATAAATTGGACTTTATAATTCATTCATATTTTTAGATAAGATAAGAAAAAGGAAAAGCTTCTATGAGTTTCTTTCAATTAAAATGTTGAATAATCTTCACAATTAAGAATACTCGATATATATAGATGATGTTTACATTCTTATTACATTTTTCATATGTTGTATAATTAAAATTTAAATAATACAGTTAATTTTAACCTATTCAAACAGAAACTCAAATTCTCAACATGACTTACAAACTATTTTTATGTACAAAAATTTCATCATCTTTCGAAACAAAATCGCACTTAAGAAGTTTTATTTGAACTGGAGATTTTTCAAATATAAATATTTTTAATAAAGAACATTTATAGTAAAACTTTCAAACTCAATACATCGATTCAGATTCAAATATTGACTCTTCTCATTGTTTATCTATACTTTTCAAAATAATCTCGAAGAGTCTAGCATCGAATGTACTACAGAACTTACGATAATTTCAAATCAAAAAAAACATCTATATACAAAAACATTTCAGACGAAATGGTCGTCCTGTGATATTCTCAATGTTTATTTTTCATATCATTTCAAAAAACTGAAATTTTACCTACATGAAACTATTTCAAGTGAAGAAAAATACCGAAAAAACAATGTTTTGTTTTAACAAATCATTTTTTTTTTGTTCAACAAAATTGAATTGAATTCAAATTATAAAATATGTTCTCCTCTTTTCTTGTGTAAAGTTTGACAAAAATCAATAAAAAATGAACTATTTAACATTTATCTTTTGGATTTTTTTAGTCAAAATTGTCAAATGAAATTCAATTTTGAAAGAAAAACAACTAAAAAGATTTTCCCACGTTCTTTTCTTATCAATACATTTTTGTTTCTTCAAATTCTATTCGACTTTTTTGCATTCATTTTCAATAATAAAACTTCATTTTTTCTTTTATTTTTATTTCTCGATTTTTTATTTAACAAAAAATTTCATTTACAATATTATTTCAAACTTTTCAATTCGATGATTACAACAATCAGCAACATAAAGATTTCCTTCACCATCAAAGGATAAACCACGGGGACGATCCAATTGATTTCCTTGACCATTTCCACCAACAACAATTTCACCTTCTTCTTGTCCTTCACACCAACGCATTACTCGATGATTCCCCCAATCTGCTACATAGATTCGACCCAAATCATCAACAATTACGCCTGTAGGATAAGATAATTGATTGAGATTGCTTCCGCCACGATTTCCTCCAACCACAATTGTTCCTTCTTTTGCATCTTTTCTCCATTTTATCACACGATCATTGTGAAAATCTGATACATAAACAGATTGTTCTTTATCAACAAAGACAAAACCTGGATAACTCAGTTGATTAAGTTGAGTTCCTTTTCCATTTCCACCTGCCACTACAGTTCCTTCGTTGTTATATTCACCCATTTTCCATCGTCGCACTTCATTCTTCTTCCAATCAGAAACATAGAGAAACCCATGTTTATCCATTGCCAAACCATAACAGTCAATGTTGTGAATGAGAATTTGTTGATTTTGATTCATCCATTGAATCACCCGCTTGTTTCCATGATCAGCAATGATGATCGAATGATTTTTTTCATCAACAATCACATCTGTTGGATATTTCAATTGATTCATTCGATTTCCTTCACCATTTCCACCTGCAATGATTTGCCCTTGCTTTGCATTATATTTCCATTCAACAATACGATGATTATGACCATCAGCAATGAAAATACTTTTCTTCTCATCAATGAAGATTCCTTCAGGTTAACTGCATTGATTTAATTGTTGTCCATATCCATTTTCACCAGCCACAGTGATAGCATTTTGTTTCCACTTGTTGAATTTTGGTTCTAGAAAACAATGAAAACAAAAGATTAATTTCGATTGAAATTTTGATTTTTGTTTTTTCCTGTTCTATTTATTATCCAGTTAGAAATTATTTTTCAAAAACTTACTTTTTGATGAAATAATTGAAATTTCATTAATAAATGACTGTGAGTCTTCTTTAATAAAAATCTTTGATGGATTGTTTAATTCTTCTGTCATTTCTTTCAATTGATTTCTTAAATAATCTAAACTAATTTCATTACATTCATTTTCTTTTTGTATTTGTTTGATTTGTTCATCGAAGTCTTTAAATTTCATTTCAATATCATTAATACATGCTTGAAATGATTTAGTAACATTTTCTCTGTACTCTTTTGCTTTTTGTTGAATTTTGTCAATTGATTCTATTTCCCATTGATCAATTTGTTCTATTAATAAATGATTATGTGGATTTTGTTTTTGTTCATTAATTGTTTGTTGAAATTCATTGTATTGATAAGTGATAGAATGTAATTCACTAGTTAATATTTCACAGTGTTCTGTTAAATCCGTTAAACAAAATTCTTTTGAACATCCTTTACAATGAAATGTTATTTTTTCTTCATTACATGTGTAACATAGTGTTTTGTTATTTGCCATTGCCATATTTTTGAATAGAAGTTGATAGACGAAATGACTATATTCTTATCTGCTTTTATAGATGTTATAGCCAAACTTCAAATCTGACTAGTCGAAATTGAACTTTAATTTTGACTAGTCAGAATTGAAATTTCAATTTGGACTGAGAATATATTAGACAAAATTGAAATTTCAATTCTGACTAGTCAAATTTGAGTTGTGACCGAATCTCACTGATAAAACTAATATAATATCTAAGATGGTTGGATAAAAGTAGACAATCGATTTTATTTTTATTTGAAATAGAAAATCTACAGCTTTATCTACCAGATGAATAGTATATCAATCTCTTTTTCATTCATTTTTCATATTATTTCAAAAAACAAACTTACCTAAAATGAAAGTATTTCAAAGAACTGAATTTCTAAACTTGTGATTTTTTATTGTAAATATTTCGATATAAATAAGATATAGTGTTGGAAAGTGCACGTGATAAAAGAAAGATATGTGTCTGGTTTCTGTTAATTAAGTATTGAGAGAGAGAGAGACTGCTGTTCATTGATTCATTATTAGATTCCCTTGTCAGTTTTTTTTCAAATATAAAGATAGAATAGCTTTATTTTTAACAATAGTCAGATTTAAGCATAAAAATGCAAGTATTGTATATAAAGGAATGTTCTAAAAGTTATTTTTATATATTTTAGTATGGATTCATATTTGAAAATTAAATGTTTGTTTAAATAAACTTTTTATAATTTTTAGATGAAGAATATTTTTATGCGAAATACAAAACTAAATTCATTTTATTTGTCAAAGGTTAAATAAAGAATAATATGATATATTCATCATTAGTTTTATCATATTAAAATCGAAACAATATATCAATGTACTGAATATTATTTTTACAAGAATATTATTTGAAGTGAATCTTTGAAAATTTAACAAATGTTCTTAAAAATAAAATATGATTTTATCATAATTATTAAATAATTAACGTAGAAATCGAATTTGTGTGAATTTAATGAAACAATAATATTATTACTTATATGTGATTCATAATAATAATATTTTTTAATAATAACAATATTGATATGATCTAAGATTCTATGAAAATGAGATTTCTTAAGATCGTTAATATTCTAAAAACTGAATATTTATAAATCGATATGAATATGAATAGGAGAAAAAAAACAAACATTAAAATTGAATAAAATGATCTTAAGAGAATAAGTTATATGATATGTTCGGATTGAACAGTTTGATATATAAAATCAATTTCAGAGGGTGTGGGTAAAGGTTTAAAGAATAAATATCCACAGCCACATCCTCAAAGAAAATGACGCACTGTCACATAGAAAAGATTTTTCTTTTTTTCACAATAGAACTGTTTGTGTTATGCAAATGTTGCTTCATGAAATGATATCGAATAAGAATATTACAAGATTAACTGATTAGTTCATTAATCATTTTATCTCTTCTCGAACGGTTGTAGGTATGCTTCCTAGAAAGTTCTAATGATTCTAGAGCATGTCTTTGCGACACGTATTTCATCGTCTATCCAGGGACTTGTAAGCTGAGTTCGAAATCTGGAACGGAACGTATAAAACAAGCATCAATCAGGAAATTCAATCGATTTCAAAAGAAATTTTAGCGATGTTTTCTCAAATATTGTAAAAAGGATAGATTTATGTATTTCCGTTGATGGTAATCATTTTGAATATTTGTTGTAAACAAATTTTATGAAATAAAACTTAAAAGACTACTTTCATTTTATAAAAAAAACGATTAAACTGCTTGAATTGTATAAGGGATATTTAAGTAAACTTTGCGCAATGGCTTCTAGAACATCCTGTATGATTGCTGTTTGTCAGCGTAGAGTTACCCCGTAGTAAAACATTTTTATGGGTTATAAACAAATTATTGGAAATAGACGAAACTTCTATATCTTCAATATAGAAATTGATTCGATCGTTTTAGTCTATCTGAGATGATAGATAAACAATCGGGTGCAAATAAAGTTTTCATATGTTCAATGTCGATGTTAATCTTGAGGGTGTGGGTGTTTGAGAGTGTGAGTGAGTTTTATTGATTCGATGTTCGCAGAAATGTTTTGATTTCCACACAAAAAATATATTCTTGAACTCATTCAAAGTAGATGTTCGCAGTTGTTCGTGAGTGTAACTGATCGAGTTCTATTAGTCTATATATATATATAAATTTGATCTATCTCCCTGTTCGTGATGTTTGCGTCTTTTACAAATATTCTCGTGGGTTTAGAGAATGTGAATAAGTATTAATAAATGTTTAATATATATTTCATTTAGTAACCGCAATATAACATACCTGGTGATATCTATTTGTAGAAATCTTTATTGTAATCAAAGAATTATGATAAACAAGGTGAGATAAAGTAGTTTAATATATAAAAATGAAAATGTTATCTATTTCGTCAGTTTTAAGTTATACTTTCTAGGTGATATCATCATCATGAAACTGTCTCTGTTATGTTCTCCTCTCACTTTTGCTTTAACGATTTTTTTGGTGCATCCACACACTCATAATTTTCGATCAGTTTCATCGGCATCGACTGATGCCTATTCATTTCCTCTATTCAATGCTGCTGAGAGGAACATTCGAATGCCAGCTATTGGCCTTGGACTTGGATTCTATGGTAAAAATAACGAACCTTACGGTACATATCCTGAATGTGGTATTGAACCACATACTGATTTTTCTGGTCACGTTATTCCACCGCCACCTGGCTGCGGACTTAATACACAAAAAGCAGTGTATATTTGGTTGAATAAAGTCGGCGGACGTCGACTTGATTGTTGTAATTCATACTATAATCAGAAATCTGTTGCTCGAGGTATTCAACAAAGTGGCGTCAATCGATCAGAAATTTTCATTTTAAGCAAAGTTGGACCAGAGTTTGGTTTAGGTTTCAATGATACAATCAATCAAGCGATGGGTATTTTACAAGAACTACAGACAAGTTGGATCGATCTATTACTTGTACACTGGCCAGTCATGAAACATCCTCGTGAATCATATATACCAAAGAGTTCTGATCCAACATGTAATATGAGTAATCCTTTGACATATGATGAAAAAAGTTGTCGTCTTTCAACTTGGTCTGCTATGATAACATTATTTAATCGTGGAATAGTACGCTCTATTGGCGTATCAAATTATAATACAACACATCTGCAAGAAATTATTGATGCTAAAATGTTATTACCAAGTATCAATCAAGTTGCATTTAATCCATACAATTATCGAACTGGACGAGCTGATTTACTTAAATTTTGTCAAAAGAATAATATTCAATTAGTAGCTTATTCACCAATAGGAGCACTTGATGCCCATCAATTTCCTGTTACGCATGAAGGTAAAGTAACAGGCATGTACCCGACATTACTTCAAGATCCTTTGATTATTTCATTGGCTAGAACTTATAAACGTACTGAAGCACAAGTTCTATTGCGATGGATACATCAACAAGGTGTTGCCTCAAATCCACGATCAATGAATGAAACACACATGAAAGAAAATCTTGATATTCTCTCGAATCCATTTACTATTAGCGATGATGATATGATACGCATTGCTAATCTAGTTCAAGATACATGCGAAGTCGATCCAAGTTGGTATGAATGTGTAGGAGATGGCAATCTTCCATAAGAGAATACTTTCGCACTATTAAATTTTTCTTGATTTTTGTTCTTCGATTCATAAATAAATCTTCCGACTGTGATTTAAAGTATAGATATTGAATCCTTGGATGCATCTATATTCTCACTTTCAAGTTGAGATCTTGACTACAGCTTATTTATGTGAAAATAATCAAGTTCAGCTCAAAAGTCTTGATTTACTGAAACTCATTTGATGTTAAGATATAAACATTATTTGACCAAACTATCAACAAGCGTTAACGATTTATCAGGCGTATTTAAATGACAACGAATTAAATTGTTCTATTGATATAGCGGAGATTTATTCTACAATGGGTTCAATTTATTGGACATACATAGGAAATTATCTACTTACTAATGAACAATATGATCTGGGTATTGGTTTCTGTAATTCATCTTTGCCAATAATAACAAATCGTGATACTCGAATAAAACTTTATAATTATATTGTATTATAGGGTGTGGGTGTGGGTGGATGTGTCTTATTTATCACACCCACACTCACATCTACATCTACATCCACACCCACACCGTCATCGAAACCCTCAAAAAAAAAGAAAAAGTAAAGATGAAATCGATTCTTTTTGTTTGAAAAGTATGAAGAGTTGAGTGTGTGTTAAGTGTGTCCCGTATCTACGACTATTTAATAAAGAAGAAGAAAAAATCTTTGCATTATCACTTAAGAGGGATGAATGGATGGTATCAAAATGTCTTCATACGTATTGATACATGTAGTTTCTAGAATCAGAGGTTCATCCTAGGGTCCTAAATTTAAAATTGGACATATAATAAAAAAAAGTACAAAAGAAAATGCAATAGACCGAGACGAACGAACGAAAAAAAGTAAAATTGAACAATGCGAGATAATATGAGGTTAAAAGGTAATACAGGGTAGTAAAAATATTGAGCAGAGAGAAAAAAAAGAGAAGAAGTAACGACACAGTCTATTTGTTTTCAAATTGTGGAGAGTCGAGTATATGTTAAGTATGTTCGGTATCTAGTGGTATCTCATGAAGAAGAATACATCTTTGCTATATCACTTGGGAGAGATAACTGGATGGTATAGAACTGTCTTCATACATATCAAGACATGCTGTTCTTAGAATGAGAGGGTGTGGGTGTGGGCATTATATATTGATATTGTATTCACATACCAAGTCACACCCACACCCACACTCTAGTGAAATAAAATATTTATATAATTTATTTGAATTATTTTCTATTGTTAAATATTGAATTTTAATTTGATTATTTTCTTTAAGTGAACAATATTTATTGACTTGGTAAATAATCGTCTAATTGAGAGATTTTTTTATTTTCTGTTATTTATGAATAAATGAGAAAAATCATTCAATTTTTTTTCACCATCTTTTTATTTTAGTTGTTTATTTTATACTATTTTTATTATTGAAATGTAAAAGTAATTTTTAGAATTTTGTTTTCGTTTAACAATGTTTTCTTTTAGAAAATGGGTTTTCTTAATCGAATTTTTTGATTTCGACAGATTTTATTCTTATTCATTTATCTTTTTTCTACTCTCCTCCCTTTCTCAATAAATCATAAAATCACAAAAATAAATCTAATAAAACTTCTACTTACAAGTTTTTTTTTATTAATTTCAATGTTTTCTCAGTTTGAAAAATATTTTATTTGATTTTCCTATAAAAATTAAATTTTTTTATATTAATTTTCTTTCGAATTCTTTTATTCATTTTGGTTTTTTTCAGCTTACAATTAAAATTAATAATTATTTATTTTTTTTTAAAAATCAAAAAAAAATATATTTATTTTATTGAAAGAAGTTTTATTTATTGATTTTTATTTATGTTCTTCAAGATTTCTTCATAAACTAATGTTCTTTATCTATTTTCAAAAATAAAAATCAAAGTCTTATCAAATTAAATTAAAAATATTTTCAGTTTAAAATTTTTTCATATTTTTGGACTCGGTGATTTATCGCATCAGCAACATAAAGATTTTCTTCGCTATCAAATAATAAACCTGTGGGATAATGCAATTGATTTGATTGATTTCCGTGACCATTTCCACCAACAACAATTTCACCTTCTTTATCTCCTTCACACCAACGCATTACTCGATCATTCCCAAAATCTGCCACATAGATTTGACCCAAATCATCAACAATCACTCCTTGAGGAGAAGACAATTGGTTGAGACTATTTCCTTTGCCATTTCCACCAGCAACGATAATTCCTTCTTTTGCATCTTTTTCCCATTTCATTACACGATGATTCCTAGTATCTGATATATAAAGAGAATAATCTTCACCAATAAACATAAAAGTAGGATAGTTGAGTTGATTAAGATTATTTCCTTGACCATTTCTACCTGCAACTAATTCACCTTTTTCATCTCCTTGTTTCCATCGTCTTACTTCATGATTCTCCAGATCAGAAACATAAATAAATCCTTTTTTATCGATTGTGAGATCACCACAATCAATATTCGAAATAGTAATTTGTTGATTTGTTTGATTTTGATCAAAATATCGAATTACTCGTTTGTTCCCTTTATCAGAAATAATAAAAGAATTGTTCTTTTTATCAAAAATTACACCTCTTGGCTCATTCAATTGATTATTTTGATTTCCTTGTCCATTTCCACCTGCAACGACTTGACCAGTATTTGAATTCAGTTTCCATTTAATAATACGATGATTGAAAAGATCAGCAATATAAATCGATTTATCATTATCAATAAAGATCCCTTCAGGACAATCGAGTTGATTTAATTTATCTCCTTGTCCATTTCCTCCGGCAACAGTAATTGCAAATTGTTGAAATTTATTCTTTTTTGTTTGAATTTGTTCTGAAATAAAAGATTTTCTTTTGATTCAAAATCTTTTTCATTCTTGTTTAAATCAAACAACAGCGAAAATAAGAAGAAAAACTTGTATTTGACTTTGTTTTTATAAAATAATGTTTTCATTTTGTTAAATTTAATTTTTAATCGAACAAAATTAATTTCAAAGAATTTCCTCAGATTTTTTAATTAAAAACTCTTCATTTGATTCTCATAAAAGTTTAATTCAGAAAAATATTTTTTTACATGAAACTCATTTTTATTTCAATGTTTTAAATAAAATCGATTTAAAATTTCTTTTTGTTAATAAATTAAATAATAATTCTTTTATTTGAAAATTCTAAACTAAAGAGTTAAACTTAACTTAAGTTTATTCAGAAATTTAAAAACAATAAAATCTTTCCATTAAAATATTAATAAGAGATTTTTCAAATGAAAAAAAATAAAAATTCTATTTATTCTCAGAAATTTGTTTAGATTTGAATTTGCTATTAGAATAAGTAATTTAAAAACAAAAAAATGAATTATTTTATAAAAAATAGTGAATAGAATAAATGATTTTTAAAATTATTTATTAAACAGAATTGTTTTAGAATAAATATTTAAACTAAAAAATGAATTGAAAATATTTAATCGAATTATTCTTATTAACATAGATAAATATTTTGAATAAATTCTATAGATGAAATAATGATATTATTTGTAAAATGAATTTTATTATATTTTTAATAATTAATAAACTAATTAATCAGAATACAATGAAAATATTTTTAAGATGAAAGACAAAGTCAATGAAATTAATTTTAATTTTCAATAAATCTATTCAATTCTTAAGAGAGCATTATTTTCTTTTTCAAAAAACTATTCGAACTGATTAATTTGATTAGCAATTCTATAAATGCTTATTTTAATTAGAAAAGAAAACTTTCGATTTTAAATTTAGTTCTTATTCATATAAATTAATTTGCAAAAAAATATTTTAAATGAAAATAAACTTTGTTATGTTTCACAAGAACTTTCATTTTAAAACATTTATTTAATCATATTCTCAATATCTCAATAAGAAAAATAAGTGGAAAACAATAGATGAAATATCATTTCAGTGTCCTATTTAGTGATATATAAATAGAAAAGAACTAAACTATGAATAATTTTATGAATATTATTTCAAGAGAAATTGTTATTTCTTATCCAAAGAATAATACTATTTCGGAAATTAATTTTTATTGTTACTTAATTAATAAAAATGATTTATGAAAGTTCTATCCCAATTTTAAAGATAATAAAACTATTTTTTATTTAATGAAACATACTTTGTTTTATTGCAGATTGAGTTGATATTTGATTTGTTGTTATTGGATTTTTTGATATAGTTGCAGTACTAGTTGTAGATTGATTTAGTAGACCAAGATCTTAATAAAAAGAGAATACAATGATTTTATTGGACAACAATAAATAAATAAATAAATAATAATTATTTCGAGTATTAGAACTATCATTTAATTTTTGAAATATTTTAAAATGGAACGAATGAAAATTCAATTTTATAATTTTAGATTTTTCCAATAAAGATATAAAGAAAGGGAACTTGTTCATACTTTATCTTGTAAATATAAATCACAAAGTTTTCTCTATGAAATATTTATTTTTTTTTGAGAAAATGTTTTTCTAACGATAAAACACGAAATGATACTGATTTATAAAAGAAAATTTTTTAACTTTCAAAGACAAAATTCTTTTAGATGAGGGTGAGGTGTCGGTGATAATAAATACTCCTTTGACTACATCCAAACCCGTCAGAATTACATTGGGAACTTCCTTGAAGACTCGTTAGGGGATAGTCGATCTAGGACGGTAAGATCTAAAAATCTGATTGGTATAGTGTTAAAACGTACTGATCAAGATCTGTCTGAATTCACAATTCCTTCAGAAAGAAAACATACCAACAATAATAGTATTAAATACGCTCACATTAAGTGTCTATATCTTATTCCTAAAATTTTTATGCTTTATAGGAAAAACTACCAGATAATTTTGTGCAAAAATTTTGGCATATGTAGAATTTAGTCAGGGATCTTAGGAAAATTCACTCTTTTAGAAATGAGCTAGCATCGTAACTTCATGACTCATAAGTAGTTTTCTACCAAATTGTTCTATATTTAACATTTTATTTTTCAACCAATGAAATAGTTTTTTTCTTACTCGGCGATGGTTCAATTTCTATAGCTTGATTTGTAGCCGGTTGTAAAAGAGTAATTGGAGGCTTTGTTTCTTTTAATTGAATCATATGAAGACCTGGTGCTGGTCGAAGACAGCCTACTACAATAAATTGTCGAGCAGCCAAAAGAAGAACTTCTTCTTCCGATTGAAAATACGAATGACGACTGATATCTTTGCCACTATCACATTCGATAGTAAACATTGTTCTTTCGCCAGTTTTGTCTAAAAATTGTTCGTTTTCGAGTACTTCTATTGATGTGGTACATGAAGAAAATCCCCACCAGACAAATTTTTTTCCTTTAGAATATTGATTAGATAGATCTAAATTCACTCCACGAAAGACATGGCATCGTGTAGATGGTAATTTTTCGAGCGCTGTAAGAACAAGTTTCAAATACAAGAACCATGGTTTTAGTTTTCGCCTATCTTCAGTGCGAAGAGCTGCATTGAGGGCAAAATACAAACATTTGTCATGTGGTTCCCATTCCATGGAGTAAAGCATGATAGAAGCTGATTCATCCTGTGTTAGATCATCGGGAGGTACGGATTCACATCGTTCTTTCGCCACATAAGCATAATTTTGAACTTTAGGTAAAATCGAAACAAGTGGTCCAACAGCTTCCTCCAATGGCACTATTGGCATTTCTTCGTACCCTTCAATTGGCATGAGCATCTTTTGTGGTTCTTTGACAATATCTGATACACGTGTAAACTGTTGTGGATCAACATTTCCATCTGTAGCCATGTTTATATGAATGGATATTTTCGAATAAGAAACACAATAAATAGTCTACAAATAAAATTAGCATCATAACTGAATTCAAATAAAATGTATTAATTAGTCGAGTACGTTTCTTTGTAGTATTCGTATTACTAATAAATCTCAACAACGTGTTTCATAGAGAATGCATTCTTACGCTAGCGTATTTTGTTAATGAAAGTAGGATGTAGATGTCTGTGTTAAATCATTTCACGCACCGACACCTTCAAGAAGATTAATTCGAGAATTTTTTTAAAAGATTCAACGATTTTCAAGAGTTTCTAACGTCTATAACTCATATATACATACACACTTTCAACTCTAAATTTCACTAATCAATTTATCTGAAGATACTGTATGATCATAGACTAAAAATTGCATAAACTCAGTGTGAGTGATATTCAATGAGAATGAGGCTACTACTAAACATATATAACGTCTAGAGCCAGTGTATAGTTTTTAGCAAAAGTAGTAGACCAAGTACTAGTTTCTCTTTTGCTAGATCTTCGAAAATTGCTCATAATTAACAAAGATTCTTTGAGTATACCATTCGAAACTATAGTTTTTTACGTAAGTTTTACATTGAAAAGTCAGGTTATGAATAAATATGCTAATAAACCTTCGAGAATTCTTAACATCTTTTCATTACAGAATGATATGAAGAATCTTCATAAATTATACAAAATAACTGATCAGCCTATTTTCAATCTGTTAGTTCAAGTTGAAACATTGTTTATATTTGTGTGAAATACTGATCGGATGAAACATGAAAATAGTCAAAAACTCACCACGTCAACAATAATTTAAATTGAATGAATTATTTGCTAGAATTCTTGGTAATATTTTTTTACTTTTTAATGTATGTTGGAAGCGAACGATGAAGGTAGTTTATTAAAATGACGAAGTTATTTTTCACAACCGACAAAGAAAAAGTAAAGTTGGTAAATCAAAAAAAAAAATGATCAGAATTCAAACGCAACAACAACATGAAAACATACTTAGTAACCAATAAGTAGTGTTTTTTTTCTTTTCATGAAAAGGTAAAGAACACTGTATTATTTCATTTCAAACCATGTGAGCATAAGCAGAAGAAAAAAATTGACTTTCTATGTGGTTGCTGCTATAAAAAGACATTTTAATACATTCCGCGAAAGAATAGTCGCTATTAAGCACATTCGATGCCAGTAACAACGATGATCACATCAAATTCAAGCAACAAAGCACATAACTTCTTATAGATTCTTAAGGGTGTGGGTGTGGATGAAAAAGAAAAAATAGAATACTCACTCACACCCACACCCACACCCTCAGAGAAAGAACTATAATTTATTCGTTGATATTCCTCATATAGTATTGATGAGAGGTTGAAAGAACAAAATTGACATGTTCCTGGATTCTATCAAATTTTTATGTGCAACTGAAAGTCGGATTACTATACATATAAATAACATATCGATGCCAATAACTTATAATAAAATCTAGCCAATGAGAAATTAGATTGATATCGTGAAAAGCAATATTTGCGTTTTTTTCCATTTGCAGTCGAAGCACACGCA